ATTTGCAATTTGAAAAACATGTACCTTCTCTAGATATAAGAGATTATTATGATTTTTAAAAATGCAACAAAAAATACTTTAGCCCTCTTCATCACCGTCTTATTCCAGCTTTACACTGGTGCTACTCTATTAACATCAATGGAATATACAAAGGTAAAAATGAAGAATCATTGATCTGAATTGATCTAATTATTGTTCTAAATTTTGTTCCGTTTCTTTACTTCTTACATTTGACAGAATTTAATTACTTAATTTCCCACTTTTTTCTGTACTTGTCACTTGTATCTTAGTATGAGCTACATTTTGGCATATCTGTTTACCATTATAGATTTCAATTCTATTGGCTAATTGGACATATATTTTAGGTTATTTTACTTAATAATATATGTTTAGGTACCTAATTTTAGCTATTACGTTAACAAGGAAAAAGGCTTTTTGCTAAATTGTAAACCAAACACCCATAATACTTGTTCCCTTATGTTAAGGGTTCAGCTAAAATTTGCACGACCTTTATCCTAGAAATTATTTTTAAGAATTATCTTTGAATTGAATTTAAAATAATTATCTTTTATGGACCTACTTAATTCGCAGTGTCACAGATTTCATGGAAACCATGAAATCTAGGACTGTCCATAAAATCAACAAAAATTAAAATGCTGGCTCCCCAGTGGAAGCCAGCAGTCCTCATTGCCAGAAGGGGAAGGCGCCACCTGACAGGGCTGCAAAGGACAGCAGGCAAGATGACAACTTCCCCCTTGTCCCTCCTGCCCCGCCCGGCCAGGTCCTCTCTGCCAATCAGCACAGAGGGGCAGGATCACCACAAAATGCCCGCAAAAACAGCTCTGAGCATCATGCGCAGCTCATGTAAAACCTTTTGTCTCATCATGATTTAAGTAGGTCCCCAATTATCTTCTGTACCAGATCCACACTTTCAAGTTTTTCATTTTAACTCTGACAAATGGAAGTTAAAATGGAATGTACTTTGGTATTCCTGCATTTTTACTTTGACGTAAGCAGATGGAGACTGGATAATTCTATTAGCTGTTTGTTGTAAACAGGTGGGGTATAGGTAGGGACCTACTTAATTAGCAGTTTTGTTGAAACCGTGAAATCCAGGCTTGTCCACAAAAATTGACATCAAATAAAAAAAACTGAATAAAAATAAAATGCTGGTTCCCCAGTGGGAGCCAGTGGTCCCCACTGCCAGGAAGAGAAGACGCCAGCTAGCAGGGCAGCATGAAGGGCAGCAGATGAGATGGCTGCTGCCCCCTCATGCCTCTTCCCCCCATCAGGACCTCTTTGCCAATCAGTACCAAGGACGGGCAACAGTCAACATGGCAGCTGCCTCCCTGTCCATCCGCCCCTGGCTGCCGCCTTCCCCCCCCCCGGGCACCTCTGTCAATCAGCAGAAAGCAGCAGGGCCACTGCAAAAAGACCATGGAATTAGAACTTTATGCCATGATCCACAAAAACTGGCAAGTCCCCATCCCCTCCCCCCCCCCACACACACATTGTAGGTAGATCCCTAGGTATACACCTGTCTAAAATACAATAAGCTTCCTCTATGTGAATTGCTACAGTACCAGAACAAAGCAAGGACTGGTACTATATGCTTTACATTACTAATTGGCTATAGTTTTTATGGTCCCAATCATAAACTAATTGAGTTGTGATGGACAAAAAGCTTTTATTTCCATCAGAGATAACCAGAGGCCCACACCTATGTGGCCTCCAAGCACAGCCAGGAATGCTGCCGTGATGCACCCACTGTGAAATATGACCCACTCCCTTCGTTTGCTAGATGCAAAAAGGGTGTTGGTGGGTACAGAATAGGGTTGCATAGGGTGACCTGAAGGGCTGTACCAGGGGTGTGCTGAGTAGGGTTGCAGGGGCAGCCTGAAGGGCAGCACATGGGCCAATCCTGACATGAGGGACAACAGAAGCAAGTTGCCTGGCAAGGGGTTAGAGAATGAGCTCTGCCCAGGGCAGGGGATAAAGTCAGTGCTTTTTAGAGTAGGGATTGTTCGAGTGACCCAAAGGTGCTGCCTGTGCATGGACCAGCATGAGAGTAGGTCAGCCTGATGGCCCAGGGGGTCACTCAGGAGAAGCAGGGTGGGTTGCAGGGTGGGTTCCACATTCATATTCTGGAAATGACAGTATAGATATCAAAAGGGCCCTTAAGGACTTTCAGTTTACCATTAAATATGACCAAACTGATCCCAAAGTGCCCACACATTTTATGATGTATGGAAATAAAACAAACAATAAATCCATCTGTGCACAAAAGCTGTCCAAATGGCTTCTTACATTTAACTGCTATAGACTGATGCATATTGATTCACCTCTGGAGATTAGGACACATTCATTTAGACCTAAATTAGATTTCAGAGCTTGCATTCACAATATCCTCATTAACAAACTGTTCAAGATTTACAACTGAAGTTGTATATAAAATGCTATTTTGCCTGACTCCCTGGCCTTGGTCTATAGATCTTTTGGAAAAGTAGTCCTGCAACTACTCTTCTGACGTTTTAGAGAGGAATTAGGATGCGGCTGTTACCAGGAATAAGGATTTATGTTGCCAATTTTCAAAGAAAGTAAAAAAAAAAAAAGGAAGACACCATTACTTACCACAGATCCATACTGACCCATGTATATACATGCACACCCTGCAGCAAACTTCTTTAAAGATATTCCTTGCATATTATGAAATTGGTGTAAAAAACTCAAATAGATTTGAGGATTTCTCCCTTTTATGTCCTTAGGTTCCTGTACCCATAAGAAAGTAGGTAGCCAACTGGCCTCAATGGATATTCATTTTCTAGAAACTTCCTAGAATCCACCAAAAGGTCACATTTCTCTAACAAGTGAAGACAAATTATTTGGGCAATGATCTTTAAAAAAAAAAAAAAAAAAAAAAGAAGGAAAAAAACCCCTACAATTACTACTATGGCCAGTAAGTATTCTTAAGCTGCATCTGGCAATGGTGGCATTTACTTTTATTCCTTTGTGTGAAAACTGAACTTGCACCATTCATTCAGCATCTCTCCACAAGTGAAAGAAGAGAGTTTCAGTAACTCTGCTGCTAGTTGTTAGTTCAAATCAGGTTGCCATGGAAGCAGATGCTGTATTGATAAAAATGGGTCAGCTGCTTTAAAATCACTGATTTAACACTTTGGAAACACTGGTTATTTTAATGCACTTAGTCTGATTTTGCTGTTACAATGTTGTTCCCATAGAAACAGTAGGGAGCAACAGAGTTCACAGGGATTTTTTTTTTTTAATTTTATTTTGCACACATGTATAGGGGCCTGGTACAGAATGCTTAAAAAGGCTTTGTGCAACTCTGATTTTAGTATTGAATACTGTCAAATATTATAGTGTAAACAAATTGTGTTCAATTTGAAGAGTATTTGTTATACTACTAAAATATAAGAATGATTGAATTTTCTGAAAAGGAAAAAAAAATCTCCCTGGGCTGTTTGGCTCTACGAGGTAAACATTTATCTGGGATGATTCAGACAAGTTGTGTCTTAAGCCAAGTCTTAATGATCCTTTGAAATCCCTTCCAACTCTATTTTTTTTAAATTCTGTAGAAATTATTTTTTTGAATCAACGGATTGGTATATCTATACAAAGCAGACATTTGGGATGCTTATTCTGTCCTAACTTTTGCTATTTAAGATGGTGATTTGTCTTTATCTGAATGGCTGTCCTCCCTTAGGAAGGAACCTTTCCCATCTCCTTTACTGTATTTGTTCTTTCTTTTCACATTCTTTATTCACCCAGTATCAACTTGAGATCTGTCCCTTTACATCATTCTGCTGATTTTGGGATGGGCACCTTTCCCTCAGCAACCTCTTGTTGCATATGGAATAACTCAATATCAACTTACCATTTCCTTTCAAATCTTTCTTCTTCATTTATTCATTCCTTCTGCTACAATCTAGCTCTACAGAACATTTTGATAAGATTATGTAAAAGATATATTAAAGTGGTGGTGCAAGAGATATCTGATCAAATGCAATGAGGCCCTGCCTCCTATTCTAAAAAAATGCATAAGCCATCAATTACATTTTGAGAGGCTAGTAGTGGTGCTCTCCTGAAGTGTACTCCAAAAATAAATGCCTACCTAGAAACTTAACTATCTACTTGATACTAACATGAGATTCCATTCACATCCAATTGTGCAGATTTTACAGTATGATCTCCCACTTGTGTACAGTGATCAACAATAATAGTTTTGTTGTTTACATTTAACCTGTCAACAATAGGCTTCACACTTAATGCTGTCAGTGATTTTAACAATGTCCAATGTCTGACTATACAGAATGTATGCGGATTCAACTATCAGCTAACCTCAAGATTTGAATCAACTGTAAGTTTTGTAAAGCTTAAATATGCCAACGTCTTTTTAAATGAAAACTCAGACTCATTCACACAAGATGGTAGCTACTACAAAAAAGAAAAAGAAAAAAAGAACATTATTCTGCCACTATCCAATTCAATCTATTCACAAAATCAACCTAAAAGTTTTGGCCATAAACAGGAAACCAATTTCCTAAAAACTATGTAACCAGAATAATTTTTTATTATTTATTTTTACCAATTTATTATTTTATTTTTACCAACTATGGTGGTAAAGTGAAATGAAAGGTTATTAGCTCCAAAAAGGCAGGAGAAGTAGAAGCACTAGTGAAGACTATTACTTGAATGACACTGGACACGGTATCTTTCTAGAATGTATGCTATATTAAAAAAAAAAAAAAAAGAGGGTTATGGAAATGATACTTTGTAAATATGTAAAGCAGCAGGACAACATCAAAAGATGAAACTACAATGATATACAATGCCAACAAACACTAGTTCTAATCCTGGAATTTCTACTTCCTGGTAAATGAAAGAAAAAGATCTACTGACAAGTGAAATACTAAAACTTTCACTGTTGTAAATGCCATTTACTATTAAATCCATGCAGATATTTAAAGCTTAAAACTTACCTCCACCAATACCACAATCAAAATGAGGTCCGTTTTTGACTCTGGGAAAATGGCATTTACTTGCGAAGACATTCCAATCAGTGCACAATTAGTAACCACAGATATTACACTCATGGTTTCAAAAGCCAACTGAAATAAAACAAAAATATATAACTTTCAAACAACATGTCTAGCTCCTGAGTCCCCTGACCTGAGACAAAACCTCTGCCCTTCCATCAGATTTTGAGCAAAGCTAAAAAAAAAGTACTATCCATTCTCTCTTAGACTTTGATTTCTGGCAAATAAAGAACTAAAGAGGTTCTGTCTAGAATCTATCAACATCTCATCTAAAATGAATAAACAGGGCCCATAAATCCTCTAAAATGGATAAGAGCCAAAATAAGGCTTATACCAATACAGGGTCCACCACTGGCATTCTGCAAGCTTGACCTTTGCCCTGCATATTTTGCTGGGGAAAGCACAAGGGTTATTTTTCATAATATGATAGAATTTAAGAGGTCTTGAAACTCATCCCACCAGTTAAATTTGTGAGACATGAAATTGTCTCCTAAAAAAAAAACCAGGATTAACTCCAATAGAAAAAAAGTAAACAGAATGATATCTCTAGTATCCTCAACTGACCCAGAATTTAAATTCACAACTTAATAAATATGACTACAGTAAGCCATTGGGCTGAATCGTCTATAGCAGGGGTAGGCAACTTTTTCTGGCTGCAGGCAGAAATGACTCACCTGGGGGTCAGATGTAGATGGGCAGGCACTAAGACCTAGCTACAGCCTGCCCTTGTCTCCATGATGGAGAGTGCCTAGAGCCAAAGCCCGCATGTTGTGGGCCAGATCCAACGGTTCTGAGGGCCACAAGACACAGGTTGCCAATCCCTGATGTACAGCACATTCCAAAAGGAAGATAACTTTCAAAGTAAACAATACCAAAGGACATTTTTAATTTAGAGTATTTCAGAGTTCAATAATACTAAAATGAATACTGTCAACGTTCTATGCCAAAATATTGACTTAAGGTTCATTACTAGATGGCAGAAAACTAATGTCAGCAACAATGGCAATGCAGAGTAAGATTTTAAATTGGCTCTGGATGCCAAATTTTGTTGGAACAATATGAGATATAGTTAAGCATGCATAATTGCATGCTTACACCTACAGAATTGGGCATTTGTATGCACACGCCAGCCAGGTGACTTACTGGTCATGTGTGAATATACAGGTACATGACTTGCATGGTATGGAGATGGGTGATGTAATTTATTTTCTGGTATAACCCACAGGTATTTTAATATATTCTATACATGCAAAAAGGATGAATCTTGCTCTGAGAAGCTCCTGGTCTGAAGAGCATACAGAAATAATGTGTACACAGATATAATTGCCTGCTATACAACACTTACCTTTGAAAATCTGACCCTGTAAATGATAAATCTCCCTGTGAGTAAAAAAGACTGACATTGAAATGTAATGACTGCTCTGATGAATCAGCAGAAGCAATGTTCACCTTGACAGCAAAGCACTGACTCTACTTGTCTGATACAATAATTCAAATGTCCTTTCCACAGAAGACTCTCCAGCTAATTCCTTATTCCTTTCACGCGCACAAAATAAATGACTGAACCCTAGAATCTATATTAATTTTTATCACAAAGTAAACATTTTTATCACATTTGCACTATTAGTTAAAATGAACCATATAAACGGAAAATAAAGAAAAAAAATCCACCTATTTGTTAGAACAGCTTCTTCCAGCCCAGTCTTGCCCCTTCCCGCCTCTAACACAAGTGAAACAAACGATATCAGCGAAAATGCAATTTTACTAGCATGATTTTATCTACTCTAGGTGCTTTGTTAGCAGAGCTATGTCATTCAGGATCACATCTCTGGTCAACATAGCTAAGCCAGCAAATGTCCATAGTATAGGCCTGGCTTAGAAAAATGAGAGGTGTTAAAATATTATTGCATTTTCATTTGTATATTTTATGGCTGTCCATCATCACCCCTCTACGTTATTTAACATTGCAGTGTTTCTCTTATACTTCTGCCCCACTGAATGTACATGTATACCCTATTTATCCAAATCTAAGCTGACTCTGAATTTAAGACGACCCCCCAATAATTAGATTCTATGCAAGAAAAATTTATAAATGTGTTCAAGGAAAGCGGTGGCAGGGGAGCAGGCAGTGAAGGGCCGGAGGGTAGAGAGGCAAGTGGCCTGACCCCTGCCCTGCCACTGCCTCCTCACCACCACCTCTGCCTCCTGCAGCCTTTATCCCCTGCCTGCCCCCTAGCCACAGGAGGCAGATGCAATGTGGGGGGAGGTAGGGGCATCAATTCCTAGTGTCATTCACACACCAATAAACAAACAGGTGAAAAACAGGTTACCTGCCAGACACCAATATTTGCTGTAGGTTCTGAAAATGGACGTTTGAAGATTTTGCACATTTTTAAGGCATCGGAATAAGTCTCTGTGATGTTGTTTAACACTGCAAACACAGCTGCTAATGGGTAAACACATGAGAAAAGGCTCACATAGCCAAACTGCAAGAACAACTCCAAGTAATCATCAAAGGTACCCTGGGAAAAGAGACAAAATAAGAACATTTTATCCATTTCTACACAGCATATGATGAAAAGCAGTATTAAAAACACATAAGCCAAATGCTTCCTAACCCCAAAACAGGAATTTTGGGGGATGTTCTGGAATTAGCAGCAGGAGAAAAAAATTAAAGTATTTACCATTCAAGTTATTATTTAGATTAACTCTGGTCTAATTTGGAGTTAATTATTCTAAATCTGCTTCTTTAGGGGTGCATTTGCTCTTTGATCTAACAAATTTTCTTCAATATTACTGATAGCTACATTTATTATTGATATAAAACATATGAACTAATCCTATAAACACTCTGAATCTTCTAAGTACCTCAGTTAAATTCTAATTAAAAGAGAACCAGCTAGTAAAAAGAGTTGTCACCATGATTTTAAACCAGCACAAAACCCTGAAGATAATCTGGTATAACAAGAAAAGCCCTAACAGTTTGGGAGATTATAGATTTATAAACGTAACTTCTTTATGGTTTTTGTGGGTTTAAGGTACTTCATTTCAAGATCAACAAGCAAAATTAGTAAGCCACAATGCATTTGAGGGGACAAAGGCTGAACCAGCAAAATAACAAGACAGAAGTAGCACTGGCAATTGAACAGAATATTGAAGAAATACAAGTGTTCTCACCACACAACATCTGTCCCTTAAACCAACACTTTACATGTTTAATCAATAATTTTATGATGACAAATTTTATTCTTAATAAATTGCTTTTAAAAAGAATTATTAAAAAATTACTATTTAAAAAGAAATCATGTAATCTGGGTCAAAAATATCATAAATGTTATGTGAAAAAATGTCTACTGAACAAAAGAACTGTCATGCTTGCTTCTTTCCCATGAAAAAGCATTAGCTGGATCCCAATTTAGTTATTTTTACTATGCAACACTTCCTCATGCTTAGAATGTTATATATGATAAGGGAAAATATAAATTTAGATGGCATTTTAAGTAAATGTAGCAAAGACATTAAAGAAAGAAAACCAATTCTGGTTCTGAATCAGTAGCATGGTTCTCTTTCTGCTGACAGTTTAGCTGTCAGCCTGGCTGGGCTCCCTAGCATCTAATGTATTTTTTCTAGGAAACACAAAGAGGCAGTAGAAGCCTACAGGCACAGAAATCAGCACATAAATATGAAAGGATGGCTGCCTTCAGCTGCATCCTTCAGTCAAGCTCACTGTTAACCCATATAGCTAATCAGATCCAGCTATGCTAATTTGTAGACTACATCCCAGGGGAGCTACCCAACCTTTAAATATACTGATTCATACCCATAGAAAAATTTTATATACACTCTGACTTTTAATTCATTCCTGTTTAAGGATACTTGCCAAGCGTCACTCAACTGGAGTGACAGTCGCATGTTTGTCCCTGCTGTCACTCTCACTCAAAGTGCTGCAGGCAGTATGCCAGGTTTCCCTTTCGCTCCCTACCCCCACCTTTACTGCAGGCTATTCCTGGTGCTGCTTCCCTCTCTGCTCCCTCTACTGATACCCTTGTCCTATTCTTATTGTCATTTCCAGTGTAGCACAGCCTCAGAAGAAAATATGGTCATCATTTCTTCTTCCTGTAGAGTACTCTAGTAGCATATCATACCCACCTCACCCCACCCCACCCCTCTCCCAGGAGGCAGCCAAAGTAGAAGGGGGACTCAACAAACAAGGTTTTCAAAGAAATTCAGGAAAGAAATAAACCCTGGGGTAAAGGGGGAACAGATTACTCCAGGAAGATACCAGTCAAAGAGGAGGGTGAAAAGAAATATCAAGAGAGAAAGAGAAATGTGGAAGATTAGGAATGTGACAGGGAATAAGAGAAAAAGAAACACTTTAAAGATAAACAGAAGAAAAAAGCATCTTGTAACAAATGCACTAGGAGTCAAGAGAATTTGGGTTCTATTTCAGCCTAGCCACCAACTTGCCATATTTCATAGACATTAAGGTTGGAAGAGACCTCGGAAAAATCGAGTCCAGCCCCTGTCCCAGTGCAAGGAAGTCAGCTATTTACTCAAATATAAGATGAAACTTTTTCATCTTACATTTGAATACAAAGAAACCACATTAAATACACTGCCTATCTTTAAACCACTGCTAAAAGCATTATGTGCTCAGTAATACAAACCAGTTAACAAGTTGATTAAATGCAGCCAACACTGAGCAAGACTATAAAACACACAGCCCATAGGAGGCAAATATGTTGATGGGAACCTACCACATTTTTTTTTGCAAAAATATTTGTTTCTACATACCTAAACAACTATATACAACTGTACCTCTAACAACCTGTCACGTGACTGCTGTGGTTCACTTGACAGCAATAATGCACTTTAACAGTTAAACTATTTTAGTCCTGTTACAAAGTTCACGCTGCGCACGCACCCATCACCATTCCCTTGAAAACATTAGTTTAATCAAAGACTCCCTCAGTTCCATCCTCCCTCATCCCATTTGTCCAGTGCTTTCACGCATCATCATATTCATTGTCGTCCTCACCATTATCCTCCTCCTTGTTCTCTTTGGAGGGCTTGCCTCTGAAAAGTCTATGCCAGACCCCTCTCTTCCGTATGAGGTCCACCATCCCTTTCCCATCATCCTCTTCTGTCTTCCTGCAGTACCAGAACATTTCACTCAATCCCATTTTAATACAGTCCTCAACTGTGGGGTCTGAGTGCCTGTTTCTGACCAGGTTCCTGGCCTTCCACAGGACATACCTGAAGCACAAAATGAACAGGTCGAAACGGGCTGCTGGGGCCCCTTGCTGTTTGGTCAAGTGCCCGTAGAGAACCACTTCTCTGGTCAGGGTTCTGAATCCCATTGCCACCAGGAGGGGTGCACATACTTTCTTCATATGCATATGGGCAGTCCCAGAAGAGGTGGTCAATCATTTCCAGCTACTACCAGCAGGACTGCCTTGGGCAGTTAAATGCACCTCTCTGCCCTGTGTTGTTTTTCCATGCACACACAGGGAGTGCCCAGTGGGCTGCCTGCCAGTTCAAGTCTCTGTGTTCTTTCTGCAGGTCCTTGTGGAAAATAATAACTTTTTTTTTTTTTTTAATATTTATATACACACATACACACACAGTATCCCACATAAGCTTTCCTTGACACACCTTAAAACGCATTTAAAAAACCCACGCACCCATTACAACAGATGCACCCCTTGCATCCATGTGCCCATGGATGAAACTAAATGAGCCCTTTCAGTCTTCCAAAATGCTGAAGAGAGACAAAATGAGGCCTCTACAGCACAGAAAGATTACTGTAAGCAGGCTGCTACAAGCCACCTTTGAAACAATGGGAGAAAAATTTGACCTTCTAAATATTTACTCCCCATCCAACAAAGAAAAACCAGGTGTGCTTTCCTAGAGAACATGGCTGTGGCAATGCCCAATATCTGGCCAGTGGTGATCACAGAAGATGTAAACTGTATCGGAGGAAGACAGAATAAGCAGAAACCAAAAGACAGGCCTGGACAAATCCTCCATGCTGTTGAAGCAGCTTGCCTGTGACCAAAGCCTGCTGGGTGCAGGCAAGGAGCCCAAAGGCCCAGGGAAAACTTTACCCTGGTGGACCTCATGGGGCAGATGAGGTTGTGCATAGACTCCGTCTTCCTCTGCGAGGAGTGGACAGTAGCGAAAGCTGAATCCACACCGGTCTGCTTCTTAGACCACTGTCTCCTAACAGGGATGGCAGAGATGGGGGAGAGAGACTGCAGTCCAAGAGGGGCAGAGGTGTGTAAGCACCTCTGGATGACCAAAAAAAAAAAGAAAAAAAAAAAATCAGTGGGAATTCAGACAGTGCTATGCAGGGTGGAAGACCCTCAGAGCTGGGTACTGGAGCCACACAGTTTTGGGCCAATGTTAAGGCAGGCCAGTGTTGGCCTTTTTCCAACAGCCCAAAATAGGCCTGTGCGAATAGGGAAGTATTAGATTCAGATTCGGCCTATTCGGAGGACAGTGACTTGATTTGGAGATTCAGATCATTGTCCCACATCTATTTGGCTGAATCAGCTTTGGAAGATTCAGCTCTGACTCGGAGAGATTCGGTGATTCAGCCATAGACCGTAATGGGGAAATCACTGAAATATCTATAACTTTGTCATTTTTTGGCAGATTTAGATAAAAACAGCAGGGATGGTAGCTCCTTCTGAGGGCATGAAGCCTGCCAAGTATCAAGGAGATAGGTGCAGGGGTTTCTGGGAAACTGCACCTCAAGGTGCTGACAAGTAAAACTCATGACATGTGACTGTGTGTGTTAAGGGCACAGCAGGATGAAAACAGCAGGTATGGTAGCCTGTAACAGGGGGCTTTCCCACTGCTCAGGCAGAAGTAGCTTACAAAAGGAACAGAAAGGCTGAAGACGGAGGCTTATGTGTTGTTTCTCTGTCCCTCCCCCAGAGCACCGTGATTGGAAAGGGACTCAGAGAAAGATCAGAGTCACTGGCCAGCTACAGATGTTAGTCTTTCCCCCTCTTCTCAGTTTGTTCCCCTGAAAGACTGCCTTCCAAATCTCCGAAGCTTCTCCGAATTGATTCAGAGGTTTTTTCTGGTCTCCCGATTCCATTCGGATTTGGTGATTTGGTCTCTGAATCAGGCTGAATCTTCTCCGAATTGAACTGGCGACCGAAGCTTTGCACATCCCTACGCAGCAGAAGGTGAACCTGGCTCCAGAGAAGACACCACGAGCACCTAAACTGTAAGCTGCAGAGCCTACAAAGCCAAGCAGCTTGGGGTTGGGACATGAGAGGGGCCAGGCAAAAGATGAAAGCTCAGATCGGGGTATGATACTGGCCCCTTGGGGTGCAGGAAAAGGAGGAATGGTCTGCTCGATTCAGGAGGTTAAAGAAAGCCAAAAGGGAGGCCATGACCAGCTTAGTAGACAGAGTGGGAGTGGATGCATCAATCAAATGAAGGGATGCTGGAGACAGCAGCAGCCTTCTACCAAAAGCTGTACATGGCATGCTCAGAGGACCCAGAG